ACTAGTATTAGTTACGCTAAGAGGTCTAATAGGGACTTATTTCCGTCTATTAAGTTCTAACGGTATTAATAAAAGCTAACGGTCTTACGAAGCCCTTACTAAAGTAAAAGCTAGCTATCTTTTTATAGTAAATTAAGCTAGAAGACGTTCGAGAATAGCTATCCTTAGAGGCCTACCTTAAGAGTCTATAAGAGGAGCTAATAGCACGTAGGAGGAAGGAGACGTCTATAGCTAAAGAGAGGAATTAGGACTTATCCTAAAAGAGGGCCCCTAGCTTAATTAAGACTTATTCTTCTTAAAGGCCCCCTTTTTAGGGACTTATCCTTAGAGAAGCCCCCCTTTCTTATAGGACTTAATATTCTCCTTAAGGCCCCTTTTTCCTAAAGTAGGTCTAAAAGAGCCTAGGGCTAAAACCCGGATTTCTTAAGTAAGGGATAAATATAGACTAAGACCTCCTTTATACGCTTACCGGCCTAGGTATTTAGCTTTACCCTTTTTATAAGGGCAGGCTATAGCTAAGGGGGTATATCGCGAAGTATAGCTTAATTTTATAGTTCTTAGAGATATCCCTTAGTATAAGGGACCTAGGAAGCTAAAAAATAGGTTTTAAGGAAGGAGCTAAAAGGAGGTATAGAAAGGAGGGTAAGGGTAAGAGGGGAAGTAAAATTAGTAATAGCTTCCTATAAAGGTAGCGAGAGATAAGATAAATATACTAGCAACGGCTAGAAAGGAGGGGAAAAACCGGTAAAAAGCTTAGTAGTTAAAAGGATATTAGTAGCTTCTTTAAGTAGGATCTTCTTTATTAATTAAGATACTAGATAGGTATAAAGGGGGGCGTTAGATAGAGGAAAGAAGGATAATTAAGGTAAAATAATAATTACTCCCTTACCTTTATTACTGCCCCTATAAGAATTAAATCTCTCTGCCCTACCTATCTAACCCCTTACTTTTAATTTTACCTTTATATATTTTTTATATACTTCTCGTATCTCTCTTCGCGATAGTTATAAGCCTTAGCGGAGGGGTTACCCCTCCGGGAACTTCCTAGTAACTACGCACGTACTTCTTCTAGCTAGCCTAGCGCGTACTACCTAAAAGGCCTATAGTTCGAGTCCCGCTAGTGCAATTAAGCGCGGTTTTAGTATAGGGCCTGCCTATATAAAAATTCCCTCTATAGTCTAGGATATCTAGGTATCCTAGGACGAATTAACCCGGTATTCCTAAGGGGGTATATCGCGTATAATATATACGTTAATTAACGCTATCGCTTATATTTAATAGGCGGCTATATCTTTTTCGTAATACTTAAAGGACTAGAGTTATAAGAGTTTATTATAGATATTAAGGGAAGTACTAAAGTTAAGGATAGCTAATTATTATAAGGGATAGTTAGAGGGTCTTAATAGTTAGTCTTAGCTTTATTAATCTATAGGGAAGATAAAGGCCGGATTTACTATACTAATAATATTTCCTTAAATTTATAGCTCGAATAAAGGTAGTAGCGTTAGTTACTATTTCTTAGTAACCTAAATCTTATCTATCTTTTTTTATAATAAGGGGTCCTCCTTAAAAGACTATTATATCGTTTCTTATAGCCTCTTTAAAAGGTTAAATCCTTTAAGTCGGTTTTCCTTAAAGACCTACTAGTATTATAATAACTATAATAACTAATAGCTTAGGGATTTATAGGCTAGGTAGCTATTTCGTTTAGTCTTTTATTTCTTTAAGGAATCCTTATCTTAATCTAGAAGGTCTACTTAAAAACCCCTTCTTTTTACCCCTTATTACTAATTTTAATAAAGAGGTTTAATTTCGACTAGTTCTTTAATTTTTTAACTAATAGACTAAAAGGTCTATTAAGGGACTAGTTAGGCTAGTTTAACTAACGGGACTAGGGCCGGGCCTAGAGTAAGAGGCGGAGCTAGGGCTAGGGCCGTAGCTATAGTTAATAATAGCGTTAAGGCTATTAAGGGAGGAAGAGCTAAAGGGGTAATAGCGATAGTAGTAGCAGCGGTAGCTATAGCTATAGGGGCTATAGTAGCTATAATAGTAGTAGGTTAAACCGTTTAGGTTAAGTACTAACTATAAAGGAATAAAACTACTTACTATTATACTTAAGTAGCCTCTATATTTAGTTCCTAGCTAGCTTCTTAAAAGATAGTTAAGTAACTATTACTAATAAGCTTTATTAATAGAGATATATCTTATAGCTACTAGCTAGAAAGAGCTTTTATTAAGAAGTATTAGTTAGCTTCCTTAAGGATCTCTTCTTACTTAGCTAGCTATAAAGAAGCTAATAGGTTCCTAGTAAAAAAGGCTCCTAGGTATATTATATAGGTCTTCTTAATACGGTTTATTATATAGCCCCTTAAGGAAGCTATTAAGGTCTCGAGCTTTAATAGCTACTACTTAAGAGTCTCTTCTTCTTAAAAAGAGATTAGCTTTATAGTACTAATAGATTCCGTTATTACTATATAAGTAGTAGTTAGTAGCTTTATCTTATAAAGGTATTTCTTATAGTAGCTCTTATAGTTACTTAAGGTAGTAGGAAAAGCTCTTTATTATACGGAGGTTAGCTTAAAGAAGAGGGAAGCTCCTTTTATAAATTCTATTACTCTAGGTTAAAGAGAGGGCTTAAGAAGGTCCTACTTATTAAAGAAGACTAAATTATAAATAGTTCTATCTATATAAGCCTATAGCTCCTTTACCTACTTATCTTAATCTTAGGGCTTTATATAAATCGTCTTATAGACTATAAGGATAGTAAAAGAGTCGTTTTTTCGATATTATTATAAAAGAAGGGGTAGAAAAGTTAATTAAAAATTAGCTTTTCTAGTAAGAGGGGTAAAAGGAAGCTATAAAGGGTATAAGAAAGGTGCCTTTTATAGTAGCTAAAAGGTATAGGAATTCTATTCCTTATAGGCTTATAACTCTTATAAAGATAGATATTAAAAGTATATATAAAATATATAAAGGTAAAATTAAAAGTAAGGGGTTAAATAGGTAGGGTAGAGATATTTAATTCTTACTAAGGTAGTAATTATAGTAAAGGAGTAATTATTATATTACCTTAATTATCCTTCTTTCTTTTATCTAATACCCCTCTTTATACTTATTTAGTATCTTAATTAATAAAGAAGATCCTACTTAAAGAAGCTACTAATATCCTTTTAACTACTAAGCTTTTTACTTATTTTTCCCTTTCTTTCTAGCTATTACTAGTATATCTATCTTATCTCTTACTACCTCTATAGAAAGCTATCGCTACTTTTACTTCCCCTCTTACCCCTACCCTCCTCTCTATACCTCCTTTTAGCTCCTTCTTTAAAACCTGTTTTTTAGCTTCCTAGGTCCCTTATACTATAGGATATCTCCGAGAAGTAAGAAATTAAGCTACGCTTCGCGATATCTTTATATTCCTTTAATATCTTAATTAATAAAAGAGATCTTACTTAAAGAAGCTACTAATATCTTTTTAACTATTAAGCTTTTTTTTTTAGTTTTTCCCTTCCTTTTTAACTATTACTAGCTCCTTTATCTTATCTTTCGCTACCTTTATAGGAAGCTATCGCTACTTTTACTTTCCCTCTCTCCTACCCTCCTTTCTACACCTCTTTTTAGCTCCTTCTTCCTTCTTCTTTTACTAGTGTTTTTAGCTTCCCAGATCCCTCTTACCTAGGGATATCTCCGAGAACTGCGAAATCAGGCCACGCTTCGCGATATCTCTACCGCGCGCCGTTCTAGTAGATATCTCTAGATTCGATTAGCCCGTCTGGTCGCTGATTCTAGGCTCGCCCCACCCGACTAGATTAGCGGCGCTTAGCAAGCCCTCGGATACCACCCCGATGCTACGTCAAGGCATCACCCACCCCCCGCGATTAGTTTTACACATTGCATTCTCCATTGTGACCTTCCTATTCAGGATCATTCAAAGCCGCAGGTTCTGACATAAAGCGGCGGGAAAGGTAGACTGTTTAATTGCATGCATGCATGCATGCATGCATTTTCGGGGTACCTTAGCCTGGTGTTGGTTCACGCCCCAGGCAAGCTGCGATACTGAGTCGCTTGGGACATAAAGTAAAATTAAAGTAGCACGCTGACACTCCGGACTTGTTGCCCTACACGGCATCGCCAGTGCGTGCCCTATGGTACAGTGCATATGCTGTCATCGTGAAGAGGAACAAACATGCTGCAGCCAATGGTAGTGCGTTGAAGTCCCCGAGGCAACAGATTCCACCGCCGAGAGAGCCAGCTCTTCGCTGCCGGCCTCGACACCACTTCAACGTAGGTCGGGCCGGGGCAGGAGCAGCATGCCTGAGAGACGGCCAGCCTAGCCAACACGATCGCGGTGCACATGGTTTGGTAGCTTTGTGCGCCTGCGAGCGTGAAATGCAAGTGTCCATGCCATGTTCCGGTCCTTATATATGAGTGCCTGGAATACCTCTGGTTCCCTCCTCCCATTCTTTACCCATCTGGTCTTATTCAAGCTGCCATCTGCTCTCTTCATTATAAGATCCAACAAGCCAACTGCACTCGTCGAGTATGTACGCCGATGCCAGCCGTTGGGTGCGATTGCTGACCGGTATAGGGCTGTCTCTGTCTGGACTCACGAGTTCCTTCAAGTCTTACCCAAGCCGGATCAAATGGCAGACAGTGGCCGAGGCACGAGTGGTTATCACTCGTCCGGGGAGTACAGTGGCTTCGTCGAAGAAGCGGCCATCGCGATTCAGGGGAAAGCAGGCGACATGGCGAGTGTGCTGTCATCCGGCAGGAATGTTAAACAGGACAGGGAACGGAGAAAGACAGCAAGAGACCAGGCAGATAGAAAGAAAGAGGCAGAGAAGAGCATAGCAGCCGGAGGCGGCAAAACATAATTGATTGCACCGCACATGTAGTGGGCGTCAACAGTCGTTCTATTAACCGTCTTGTCGAGCGACTTGAGGGCTGCCCGTTTTGAACAAGAGACAACTGAGGAAAATCCGCCTCTTCCACTTCTGCATTTATGCGCATGATGCTTTGCCGAAGAACTGTCTGAGCTCTTTTTCGTACGTCTCTAAGTCCGCCCGCTTCTTCTCAACTATCTGAGCAGAGTCTTGAGACCAAAAACTAGATATGGTCGTCTCGACGTCCGAAGACAGATGCATCGAGAACCTGGGGCAGATGTGCTGTGCCACAACACAGAGCGAAGCATTCACAGACTCGATGCAGAACCAAAACCACACCCCATTCGAGTCCCACATTTCTTGCATGATCTTGGATAACGACAAGCCGTGCTCGGCTGAGGTGCTGCGTTCTTCTTGCTCCAAGATGTGTAGAAACTCTTGCCTGGCCTTGTCGAATTCGTCGAGGCGGTCACCCTCTATCTCATCGATACCACATCCAGTGATCCAATACGGCACAGCAAGCATCTCGGCAGGTAGGGCGCATATCCATTCAAGGTCGACGAGGCATGTGACGTTCCAATCTGCGTCGACGAATATGTTGCTGGCGTGTAGGTCGGTAGGCTGGAGCAAGAACGGCCCGTTCCGTTGGTCCCTCCGGATGAAGTGGTGCGAAAGCGCCCGGAGTATTACTTGGACTGCCATCTGGCCGTGACAGTCTGCATCGTCGAGAACCGCGTTTGGCTTTGCCAGGAAATAATCATCGTGCAGCGTGAGCATGTCTGCCACGAATGCTTCCGTGGAACGATAGGTTTGGGACTGTTGCATCGTTCTTAGGGCACCGTCATTCTCCAGTATTATCATTGAGCAGGTCAGGGGGCGGTTCCCTAAGACAACGGAGCCATCGGGATCAAATCGAAATGACCCTATCTGTAGATGAGGAACACGAGCCAAGGAGAGCATGATTCGAGCCATGCCGCGGAACAGCCTTTGTCTTCGGTCATCATCATTCTGCGCGCTGCCCCACGTGTTTGAGAGCATTTGGCCCACCTCCGGGCCGATGTGTTCGATGAACATGTATGCAGTCGGCAGACGGAGAGATGTTGGATTGGCCGTGTAAAGAGACAGGCGCGAGTATCCAAGGAGCTTGTAGAGATGACGTTGGAACCTGCGAGCGAGACGGACGTGGAAAGGCCGCTGTTCCACGTGCGTATACTAGACATTGAACCGGTTAATCGTGCATTCAGGGCGTCAGAGAGAACGACGGAGGGCTTACATGGCGGTCGTCGGAGAAGCCGAAGCCGTATAGGTGGGGAATCCGGATGTCTGAACAGTTCTCTTGCATCCAGGCATAGGTGGCCACCTCGCAGCTCAGCTTCTCATCGACGGTGCCGGGATACTGGGATTCGGCGAGCTTGTATGACATTGGACACCGCAGCATGACCTGCTTGGTGCAAGCGGCCGTCGTCACCTTGACGGGTATGCAGACATTGAACCTGCCCCGGATCCATTCGCACGGGGGTAGAGCAACGCATTCGTCCCGATGGCCAAGACGAAGATGGTGTTTGGCAAGCGCAGCAATCACGTCTCTCTGGTCCCAAAGACTCCGATATAGTGCCTTTGTGGCTGCGACGTGTGGCAGCTGATTGAGGATGTTGGCCTCTTTGTTGGCGGCTGACTCGTATGTGATGGGACCACGGTCAAGGAGCTCCAGCGTGGAGCACATGCTAGGCAGTCCAAGGTCTAGGCTTGCCTGGCTTGACTCTGCGAATGCACTTGCGGCTACTCTTCCGGTACAATGCGAAACACCAAGGTCAAGTCAGTTAATTGATGAGGAAACGGGATAACATCGGAACTTGTCTGCGCACTCAAAAGTTAGTGGTTGCGCTTCAATAGATGCATACCCGCTTAATACTTACAACGGGGTGCACTACGCTTTAGGCTTAACGTTTAACGTGAACCGTGTGCGAAGACACTTAAACTCTAGCCCCTATTTAATTATAAATAGGTAACTTGCCCTTTTCTAAAGCCGGCTTACTCGCTCTTTATATAGTAAATAGTTAGCTAATACTAAGGATTAAGAGAGATTAAAGACATAGTAAGATATAAAATAAGTATTAATTTAAGCTATAAAAATAAGAAAAAGATAATAGCTTAATATTACTTAAACCGTTATATATTCTCTCTTTACTTTAATAATAGGTATGAATTTCTTTAGTATTAATTATAGCTAACCTACCCTCTACTATATTAACTTCCTACCTTAGTTTAATAAAGTAAAAGCGCTAAACCCTTATAAGGGCCTCTTTAAGTATATTAATATAGTAATTACCTAGAAATATATAAGAAAGATTAAGCTTAATAACTTTCTTTTTTAGTAATATATCCTTAGTATAGTCTTACTAATATATCTCGTAAAGAGAGATATAAGAAGTATATATAAAATATATAAATATAAAAGTAAAAGTAAGAGGTCGAATAAGTAGGGCAGAGATATTTAATTCTTATAAGGGCAGTAATTATAGTAAGGGAGTAATTATTATATTACCTTTATTTTTCTTCTTTCTTTTATTTAACGCCCCTCTTTATACCTATCTAGTATCTTAATTAATAAAGTAGATCCTACTTAAAGAAGCTACTAATATCCTTTTAACTACTAAGCGTTTTACTAGTTTTTTCCCCTCTTTTCTAGCCGTTGCCGGTATATCTATCTTATCTCTTACTACCTTTATAGGAAGCTATCGCTACTCCTACTTCCCTTTATACCCCTACCCTTCTTTCTATACTTCTTTTTAGCTCCTTCTTTAAAACTTATTTTTTAGCTTCCTTAGTCTCTCTTACTAAGGGATATCTTTAAGAACTATAAAATTAAGCTATACTTTACTATATACCCCCTTAGCTATAGCCTGCCCTTATAATAAGGGTATAGCTAATATAGCTTTAGGCTAGTAAGCGTATAGAGGAGGTTTTAGTCTATACTTATCCCTTACTTAAGAAATCTAGGTTTTAGCCCTAGGCTCTTTTAAACCTACTTTAGGAAAAACGGGCCTAAGGAGGAAATTAAGTCTTATAAGAAAGGGGGGCTTCTCTAAGGATAAGTCCTTAAAAAGGGGGCCTTTAAGAAGAATAAGTATTAATTAAGCTAGGGGCCCTCCTTTAAGATAAGTCCTAATTCCTCCCTTTAGCTATAAACGTCTCTTTCCTCCTACGTACTATTAGCTCCTCTTATAAACTCTTAAGGCGGGTATAAGAGTCTTTAACTATTATAAGTTATAGGCTTAGGCTATAGCCTAAGCTATATAGTTATATATAAAGGGCCGGATCCTATATATATATATATAGGCTAGCCGCGTATAAGAGAGCTCTATATAGCTTATTAATATTATCCTATAAACGGCACCTATACGTATACTTCTACCTACTTCGTAATAGTATAAGCTATTAACTAATAGATCTAATAAATATCTCTCCGAAGAGGGCGCCTCCCCCTTAAGGAAGCACTCCGCCCCTCCCTAGATAGATAGGAAGTATTATAGCTATTATAGAAGCGATTAAAAGCGTAACGGCTAGCGAGAAAGATAAGGTTCTTACTATACTAAGGGAGCTATCTACGAGACTAGCTTTAACCCCTACGACCTCTATAACGCCGGTTATAGCGACGATACTATTAACGCGGAAGCTACTCCTTTAGCTAACTTAGGATAGTAAGCTAAAGTCCTTTTACTTCTTCCTTAGCTAGCTATAAATAAAGTTTATAACTAATAAGAAATAAGGCCTAAATAGCTATCGCGATATAGTATAGTATTCGCTCCTCTATATATTACTAGAGCTATAGATATAGCGGATCTTTAGATTCTAAGATAAGGGTGGCCCTAGGGGCAGACGCGACCTATAAGACTTCTTTTAATACCTTATATATATATTCGGTAACGTATAGGAGCGGGAGAAGGCGTAAGATAGGCTATAGACCTTTAAGTAAAGAGATAAATAAACCTTTAGCGAATTCCTTCCCGATTTTAAAGAGACGCTCTTATAGTATAAGAAGGTATAAGCAATAAGCGTAGAATCGGGTAATCGGTAACGTAAGCGGAAAGTTCGGTCGAAGGAGTATAGGGTAGGATTTCGTCCGAAATTTATAACGAGCATATAAGGGGCTAAATAATATATTAAAAGAATAGCGTTGTAAAAGATGCTTGTAAACTTACTTATTTAATCTACTACTCCTAGGGAAATCCTTTATCTTTTATAAACTATTGCTCGCCTACTAGTAGACTAATTAGTTAGCTTTCTAGCATATTCTATAGTGCTTAAAAAGCTCTATCTATAGTATATCTTCCTAACTTAGTAGGTGGTCTAATTATAGCGTGATAGTTAACGTAAGACTATAGGTTCTAGCATAAGTAGTAGATTTAACTAGAATGTTCTATGCCCTACCTATTCTCGTATCGCGGATATCTTCGGAACCGCTAGGCCAAAATAGGCAATAGGGTATCCGTTCTACTCGTTATTAACTTATGCATTTTATATATATTTTTGTTTATAAGGATAGGCTTATCCTAACCCGCGTTTCCTAGAGGAAGGTATAGATATTTAGTAGAGGTCTTTGTCTTTTAAGGGTTATTCCCTTAGACTATATTATAGAGCCTCTTTTTACTAGCTTATTCTATAAAGCCTCCCTATACCTATTATTTCTTTATAACAGTAAAATAGGAATATAAGGGTATATTCTTATATATAGGTAGTAGGGACTATAGTATAGGAAGATAGCGTAAAGCTTATATAGCTATATAATTCGATTACGCTAGCCTTATAAGAGCTACTTATCCTTATAATTATACCTACTAACTATAGCGAGTATATAAGCCGGTTAATAAAGGTAGCTTAGGGCTATAAGTAAACGCTATATTTTTAGAAGCTCCGTAAGCGCACGCTATATAGTAGCGATAGGATTACCGCCCTTCTATAAGATAAATAACTGGCTATTAATATAGATAGGGATACCTTAATATCGGCTACCTATATAGACTAGGCTAAACGCGGTAAGAAGACGCCGTCGACTACCCCCTATACCGCCCTATACTTTAAGTAGTAGGCGAAGTAAGTAATAAGTAAGGAAATTAAAAAGAGGAAGGCTAATAGCCGCTACCTACGTTATAGAGTATCTATATACTTTATATTAAAATACCCCTTCCTTTTAGCTAAGCGGCCTATAGCGGTTTAAGTAGTAAAGATAGAACCGCTCCTTACCTTAGACGATAAGGAGGACTCTGCCCCCTTAAGCCTAGAGGAAAAAGAGTAGCTCTAGAGTAAAGACGGGCTCTAGAGCTTTAATTACTAGTACTAGTAAAAGAGAAGGAGGAATTATCCGCTTATATAAAAGAGAAGCCTACTTTAATATAAGTTATAATTAATAACTCCTTACTTACTACCGCCCTTATAAATAAGGGCTATTAGTACTACGCTATAGTTAATAAGGCGCTTATATAAGAAATATAAGTACTAGTAGAAAAGATCGCCCTAAGGTAAGTAAAGAGCGCCTTAAGTATAATAAAAGGTATAGTAATTAAGGGTATTATATAGCTAGCTATAGAGGTCGATAGTTACTATAAGCTTATTATAACCTATATAATCTCTTAACTAGAGTTTCCCTTAATCCTTAGGAAACCTTAGTTATTATATATAGAGTTATACTTAGTTTTATACTAAAGGAAGCTATAGTTTAGGCTTATATAATAGTAGGTCCGCTATAATAATAGTTCTATAAGTATAAGACTAAGTATACGAGCTTTATACTTAATATAAGACGTCCTTACCTCTATCTTTATAGGAACTATATAATAAGTAAAATAGGGGTAAGGCTAGGCAGCGGCTAATATAGCGGTCTATATAGTTAGCTTAGTAGATATTAATAAGGCCCTTTATATAAAGAAGCTAAAGTTACCTTTTAAGCTATAGTAGTAGATATTAAAGCGCTTTTATAACCTCCTACCGCTATTTAAGTCCTAGGAAGTAGATAAGCTTAACCTATATAAGCTAAGGGTAGACTATAAGATTATACTCCGTACTAATAAAAAAGGATAGGAACTACCTATACTGTTTAGACCGCTATATAGTATATTATACGTAGAGCTATTAGTACTAAAGAAGATACTAAGGGACCTCTTAAATAAGGGTTTTATTTAAGTAAGTAGCTTTAAAGTAAGAGCGCTAGTCTAATTTATATATAAACTAAGGGGTAGGATATAGTTTTATTATAATTATAGGGCTTTAAACGTAATTATAAGGCTAGACCGCTACCCTTTACCCTTAATCTTAGATACGCTCTATAATATTTTAAAGGTAAAGTAGTTTATAAAGCTAGATATAAAATAAGCGTTCTATAAGGTATAGATCTTAGAAGGTAACGAGTAAAAGATAGCGATTTATATCCGCTATAGCTTATTTAAGTAGCTTATAATGCCCCCTAGCCTCTTAGGAGCGCTTACTACCTTCTAGTATTATATTAATAATATACTTTAAGACGTCCTTAATTAGTTCGCCTTTATATATATAGATAATATCCTTATTTATATAAGCGGCTCTTATAATAATTATATATAGAAAGTATAAAAGGTCCTAGAGCGCCTTTAACTTTATAGGCTCTACCTTAACCTAGATAAGTATAAATTTAAAGTTAAGAGGGTTAAGTACCTAGGCTTTATTATCTATATAGGCGTAGGTATATAG